CATCTTTGTGGCCTCCTCTGGACTCGTTCCAACAGATCTCTGTCCCTTTGATGGTGGGGACACCAGAACTGGATGCAGCATTCGAGGTGGGGTCTCACAAGAGCAGAGTAAAGGGGGAGAATCACCTCTCTTGATCTGCTGCCCACACCCCTCTTGCTGCACCCCAGGATGTGGTAGGAAGACTGTCAAGACGAGAGATCTGTATGCAAAGGAGTTAATGGAATTATTTTACTTCCTCCTTTGGTTATTGACGGTTGGATTTTTAACATTTCTTTTTCTGGCCCAGTCCCTATTCATCTGCCTTTCCTTCTTCACAGAGGTGAGGTGTCCTCCTCCTCCGGGCATTGCCAACGGGAAGCACAGCGGGCAGCCCTCGGCCGGGCACCTCCCGGGCTCGGTGGTGCAGTACTCCTGCAGCCCCGGCTACTCCCTGCTGGGGAACGCCTCCCTCACCTGCACGCCCGAGGGCACCTGGAGCCGGCCCCGGCCCCGCTGCCAAGGTCTGTTTGTGTCGGCTGCTTTTCTCTCCTCCCTGGGCCCTTTCTTCCTCCTTTGCTCTCAGTCTAATCGCCGCAGGCAAAATCTCCAGAGAGAGGCAGAGGCCAAAGGTCCCAGAGGCAGGACGAGCCCAAACTGCCTCTGTGGGTTCCTCTCTCTGTCCCCCAGTAAGGACGGAGTCTCAGGAGCAGCTGAATGATGCTATTTTGTGTAAGAACAAGAGTCAGTAATGTTGGCATGCCCATGCCAGGGGTGGCAGGGTTCAACAGCAGGCACTGCCCCGCTCAGGGTCCCTCCACAGCCAGGAGAGTTCAGGTCCCAGCGGTGCCTCCTGCTCTTTGCTTCCAGCAACCGGCTGCGAAAGGCCCGAGATCGAGAATGGAAGGACAGGGGGGCTGGAGAGCCTGTACAGCCCCGGGGACACCCTCGTCTTCGAGTGCAACTTGGGTTACACCTTGAAGGGTTCTCAAGAGTCTCAGTGCCAGTTTGGGGGCGTGTGGGACCCTCCTGTCCCCATCTGTGAGAAGAGTAAGTGCAAATGAGGTGGGGGTGGCAGCTGGAAGGACCACAGATGGAAACTAACCACTGTAAATGCCTCAATAATGAGAAACTATCATTCCTGATGTAAATAAGCTCAAAAAACATGAAGGCTAGAAGGTAAGTGGGGGTGGGATGGAAACATAATTCAAAGAGGGATAGCCCTAGCCATCTGGGGAAAGTTACTGGGAAAGAAAGGAGTTAAAAGGCTGCCTTACCCTGCCGTGGGTGTTTGTGGCACCACCTCTTCATCAGTTAGGACTTCTTCCCCTCCTTGTAGTGCTACAGTGCCCTTCCCCTCCAAAAATCAAAAATGGCCATCATGAGAGCAAGGATGTGAAAGCATTCTTCCCTGGAACATCAGTGAGGTACAACTGTGACCCGGGGTACGTCCTCACTGGGAAAACCTCAGTTTCTTGTTTGGCATCTGGGACCTGGAGCATCCCTTTCCCGCGGTGTGAAGGTGAGCAGGGAACGCTCTGACCCACAGTGAACAGGGAGACCAGGGGGTCGCACGGCCTTCCTTGAATTTTGACCTTGCAAGACCAAGGGGGGAAACCCCGGCCCTGCAGCCTCTCCCCCAGCC